CGGAAGTAAGGCAGGAGAAGTTCATACAGCTTAAAATTGTTGAAAATATAGAACATTTTGAAGGTAATTGGAATCTATGTAGAAAAATTTCCTCCGGCTTCTGGAATGACGAAGAGGAATCATCTCTTCCTCTTCTACATGTAAAGCATTTGTACTGCTCTAAGTGGAAGTGGCGAATTGGAGTCGCTTTTATCGTTAGCTTTCGTCATGTGGTAGTAAGGCAAAAAAAAAATTGGCGAACTAATTAAATTCATCAGGTATCCAAGTGAAAAGAAAATAGCCGCAGCGCCAAAGCAAATTTTTAGTGGCGTCTTTCCTCGTCTCTGTGTCTCGATGCATCAAGGCTTTTGAAGTCGATCAGCTTGCGGGTTGCGAGCAATTTTTATATTTATGTTAATGTGTTCTCCCCTCGCGCTGCCGGCTAGTGACTTGTGGACTTTGTTGCACCTTTGAGGGTTGTTTATTGTCGGAATTTCAACGGAGAGAGTGAAAATGTGCGAAAGCTAGGATGCAGACACCAATATTGAACAGCAAACGTCCAGCAAACGGCAGACAAAACAACGCTGCGGAATCATTGGTTTAATTTTCCTGGATTTTTTGAATTGAGAACACAAGACTCTTCCGATGATTGCCGAACGCCCATGTTATTCAAAGTCTATCTCTTCAAACCCGGCGATAGTGAGAATTCCTCAATATCCGATCGTATCAAAGCATGATTAACTGTGTCAAAAGCTTTCGACATGTCCGGTGCAACTAAAGACCCAATGACCACATGTGGCTTTGCTACTGGAAAGAGTAGTTATTATCAGTCGATACGATTTTCATTTGTTCCTTCAAGTTTCCTCGGATTTCAGAAACAAATTGCGCAGGTCATTTGTCAATTCTTTCTGTCAACCGAAGTGCTCCGAGTAAAAAGTTGGCTAAAACTTGTCTGACGTGGCGCCGACACCGTCAACTGGGAAATCGCCAAATTAAGTTTCAAGGTTTCGGAATCGCCGTGATCGACTTGAGGTAGTCAATTACGCCTTAATGCAACATCCAACGGTTTAGTAGGAAATTTGAAAAGTTAGGGAGAACTTCAACGGTACAATGTGACACTGACAGTCTCAAAATGTTCCGATTGCTGCCTTCTAAGCGAGATATTGTAAATCAAGCAACCGTCGTTTGCCATGCTGCGACCTAAGTGTTCAAAGCTTCGTGCTTATTACGACATCACACCGAAAAAAAAAACCAACAGCCAAATTCAAAACAAATATTTTTTCGTAAGAAATGAGGCAGTTGCAATTATTACGTAATGAAATCAGTATCTAAATACATATGTATGTATGTAAAGGATAAGTGGATCCATCCTTTGCGTAACAATGCACTTCAATAACCTTTCAAGCCAAGCAATAAAGTAAAAATGGGAACGAAGCGTGTAAATATAAAACGAGTTTCAGTTTAGTGTACGCTGACGGTCGCTTCAAAACTAATATAAAAAAATTAATAAAAAATGTAAAAAAAAGTCAAAATTTAAAGCAAATAACTGCAATTTAATAAACAAAAGCAAGCCGTTTCAAAATTTTGGAATAAAGAGAAGAGTGCGCATCACTTTTATACCCTTCATGTATGATACAGAAAAAGTTATATTGCCTTTAGTTCGAAGTATGTTTGTAAGCAACAGAAGGATAAGAGATACATTCACCCATAAAAATTTATCCGAATCGGGTTAGAATGACGACTTGAGTTACATTAGACATTACCCTCCGTCTCTGCGTCTGCATTTACGCTAACTACTCCCTCATATTTTTTTAATTTTTTCTTGTTATTTGTTTATTTTGTTTAATATTTATAACTTTTTCTTTAATTTTTGTATTGGTTTATTCTTATTTAATTCTTTAAAATTTTTTATTTGCATTCCATTGTTTTGTTTTTTAATTTTTTATATATTTATTTATATATTTATATATTTTTATTTTTTATTTATTTATATATTTTAACCTTTATTTCTTTTTTTTATTTTTTTTTTGTTTTTTTTTTTTTATTTCAACCACACTTGCTAAGCAAATGTGAGCATATATTTGGTCTTTTGTGGGAATCGGTCTATAGGACTTTAACATACAGTCTCCATACTTCCGATTTTTGCAGATATAATGTTTTATGTCAAAAATCCTTTAAAATAGCTATAAGCGTGAAAATAAAAGGTAACTCTTGAATATAGCCCCCGTATGGCCGATTTATACAGATATACTATAAGTTTTGGTTCAAAACGATTTTAAAAACGTAATATTTGATATTCTACACTCGGTATCTATAAAGAAACTTTGACATCGAAAATCTTCGAAATCTGAAAATTATATAGCAATAATTTGATATAATCATGAAAGGTAATAAAGGCCTCGAAATTGTGGAAGACAGCTCTTTTTATATTTTTGTTTTATTTTATTTTTATTTGTTATTATTGTTTTTTTTTTTACTTTTATTGTGTTTTATATTCATTTATTATTAATGTTTTGTTTAATTTTTATTCACGATTTTTTATATTTGTTAATTTTCGTTTTATTTTTATTTGTTTTTATTTTGTTTTTGGGGTTTTTATGGAACTGTTTCAGACCATATATTTTTTGGAAATAGTGAAACAATTACGACAATGGTTTTGGTAGAAGTTATCGCTGCTATTTCGGAAACCACCACGTTTCCTCATCAGACTTCTTTTTCAAAGACCTTTGCTCGAATTGGATTCCAACTTGGGATCCCCAGAGCACGAACCAATGGTTATCTCATTAAGCCCATTCACTTTTCCTTTTACCTACATATCCACGATCAAGTGCTCAGATATTCTGTAGCTGTAAATTTAACGCCATGTAGTTGTTTTTACGAAGAATTTATCAAGAAATATTTTGAGGCAACGCCCTTTTTATTATTGGAAAATTTCATTCGTTTTGTTTCAATGAATTTTTTTGTTTAATTTTTGCCTTTATTTATTATTACAATAGTTTTTTAAGTGTACTTTTGGGTTTTTTTTGTTAATATTTTATAATTTTTTTTTTTGTTCAATTCTTTTAATTTTCTTCTGCTTACTTTCTATGTTGTTTTATTTTTTTTTTTCTATTTGTTTTATGTTTATATATTATAATATTTTTGTTTAACTCTTGCTTTGAATTATTTTCATTTTTTTATGTTCAAATATTGTTGTTTTATTTTCTTATGATTTTTGGTTAATTTTTTATTTTTATTTTTGTTTTTTTTTTCTTGCTTACATTGTTTAATATTTTTTTACGATTTTTATTTTTTCGTTGAGTTTTTGGCTTGATTTCTTTTTTAATTTTTTTGAATTTATGTTATTGTGTAATTTTGGTTTGTTTCATATTTTTTTAATTTTTTCTTGTTATTTGTTTATTTTGTTTAATATTTATAACTTTTTCTTTAATTTTTGTGTTGGTTTATTCTTATTTAATTCTTTAAAATTTTTTATTTGCATTCCATTGTTTTGTTTTTTAATTTTTTATATATTTATTTATATATTTATATATTTTTATTTTTTATTTATTTATATATTTTAACTTTTATTTCTTTTTTTTATTTTTTTTTTGTTTTTTTTTTTTTTATTTTGTTATGATTTCTCGTCTATTTTTTACTTCTTTGTCTTTTTTTCTTTATTTTGTTTAATATTTATTTACAATTTTTTATTTTTGCGCTTAATTTTTGGCTTGTTTTATTTTATAATTTTTTTAGTTTTTGTTATTGTGTAATTTTTGGTTTGTTTCATATTTTTTAATTTTCTTGTGTTATTTGTTTATTTTTTATTTTGATTCATTTTTTTGTTTAGTTTTTGTTTTGGTTTATTCTTATTTATTTTCTTTAAATTTTACTATTTGTATTTCTTTGTTATTTTTTTTGAATTATTAATTTTTTAAATTTCTTCTGCTTACTTTTTATTTTGTTTTATTTTTGCTTTTTCTATTTGCTTATATATTTATATATTTTAATTTTTATTTCTAATTTAAATTTTTTTTTGCTTTTTTTTAATTTTATTTGATTTCTCGTTTATTTTTTATTTCTTTTTTTAATTTTTGGTTTATATTGTTTAATTTTACAATTTTTTATATTGTTTTTTAATTTTTTTTTAATTTTTGTCATTGTTTTGTTTCATATTTTTTTAAATTTTATTTTTTTATTTGTTTACTTTTTATGTTGTTTGTATTTTATTGTTTTTGTTTTGGTTTATTCTTATTTAATTTTGTATTTGTATTTTTTTGTTTTTTTTTTTTAATTTTTATTTATAAACCTTTTTTGTTTTTTTTAATTTTGGTTTAAATTTATTTGGTTTTATAATTTAGTTTAATTTTTGCTTTTATTTAGTTAATTTTTTTTTTTTTTAATTTTTGGTTTTTTTCATTACGGTTTTTATTAATTGATTTTTTCGTATTTCTTATAATTTCGCTCTTTATGCAAATATTGTCTAATTTATTTAATTTATTACTGCATTAATTCACTCAAGCCATGAAGTTGCGTTATCAAAGTCTTCTCCGCCTAAGAAAAAGTTCTCATATTTATTATTCTAATTTAGGCATAAAATATACCCGCATACATACATATGTACATATATCATTGTTTATTATTTCCTTTCGTTTAGCCAAATGTGTGCTGGTGTTGACCGTAGGTCAAGTTTTTAGCAGCAAAAAGATTTGAACAGCCGCTAAGTGCTAAGATTTTATACATACATATGTATATATATGTGTATGTACATTTGTTTATATTCGCGGGCGTTAATTGCGAAAATCAGCTGAAGGCTGGGATTCACTTATCAATACAGACCACAACATCGCTACGAATGCACTGCGCAGTGTTAATTGTATACAAACTTGCTACACAGATGCACAAACACACACATATATACACCTATAGAATTTATTGCCACATATAAATATACCGATATATTGTGCAAATAATTATATGCAGGTAAGTAAGGCAGCGGCTGGGATTTTGTCGCCCTCAACTCGTATATAAGCGCTGATTTCGAAGCCCTACCGACATTCAGTAGCCGCCAACGTCCGTCAACGTATTCACCAATTAATAAGTCCAGTTTTAATTTCATTTGAATTTAACGCAAAACCAAAACAAAAACACAAATCAGCAACAACATGAAGTGCACACTCTTCGTTTTCGCCATCATCGCTTTGTTGTTGAGCATCGCCAGCGTACAAGCCGTTGACAAGTCGGGTGAGTAGCGAATAACGAGCAGCGTGTAGAGTAGATTAAGTCATAAAATCCCCAACTAAATCGTTCCGCAATTAATAAAAAACAAAGCATTCTCTCATAATTCCTTTCACTTTCAATTCAATTAAATATTATTTTTTATCTTTTATTAATTTTTTATTTCTTTCATTATTTTTCTATAACCACCAGCTTGCTCACAACCGCGTGAAATCGGTCCCTGTCGCAAGGCCGATCCGAAATTCTTCTACAACAGCGAATCGAAGGCCTGTGAGGACTTCCTCTATGGCGGTTGCAAGGGCAATGACAATCGTTTCGACAGCAAAGAGGAGTGTGAGAAAACTTGCCTTTAAGTGATGTTGCATTCGCCAAAAAAGTGTGGTTATCGATTAATTTTAAATCGATAATCATCACATAAGGCGATGTTTAATTGTTGATCTTGTAAATATTACATGAGTATTTGTTGTCGTATGATTATTATTTTATGCTTTATACATATGTAAATAAATGGAATTGCGCAACTCTATGTGAAAAATATATCTACACAAAAAATATTATTTACATATTAATGTGTGTGCAAACAAGTAAGTATTAATAATTAAAAAATAATTGTTATTTTTTTAATTGATTTTATATGCAGTTAAAAAAATAATGCTCAAAATTATTAGCGCGAAATAGTAATTAGTAACCAGTTAGTGATCAAATGAAATTGATATTAATACAACGATTGTGTGGACATATTAAAATACACTATGTAACCAAAATAAATACCAATTATTATATAATATACTCACGTCATGTTAGACAGCTTCCCAGGGCTAAAATTTTACTTAAATTTATATCTATAAATAGGTTTGCTTAGACAAACTGCACCAGAAACGAAACAAATATTCGTAAATTTTTGATAATAATTCCTTCAACAAATCTATAAACAACCCTGCAAGAACGCGTTGATGGGTTCACCAATGCACTCCCACGATTTCGAGCAGCACTAACACATTTAAGCACATTTTTTTTGTTTAACTTTCTCTTCTGAGTACATACCAATCGATGGAGAATGCAGTTGAACGGATTATCCGTTTTATACTATGTTCTTATTTTCGATTAGAACGCCATTTTTTAACGTTTTCTCCGCAGTGGATAGAAGTGAAAGATACATAATGAGGATCCTGTCCAAGTTATGGTAATAATATATTTTGGATTAATTGAGTACTTCATTTTTCGTTTCACATTTTTTTTTATTTAAGGGCACTCCATATCGTACGGAAAGATCAGCGAATGGCGCAGTTTGACTGGAATGGAGGCTTCTCATCTTGCTGCAGTAGCAGATTTAAAAATACTGGACAAAACTTTGCGAGGTATACATGCATTTAGACATAAATAAGATTATGAATTCGAACACTATTTTTTTATTTTACTTAGACGTCTTTATACCTCAAAAAAGCCGTGATTATGACGGAGGCGTTCGTGGAGCTGGGGAGCTGCGTCACCAACGCATGGCACTATTAAAGACTTCTGTATATGTGATTTTGCTATGAATATTTTAGAGATTTTTGAAAACGAATTTATTGTTGTATTATTATTTCTTTGTATGCTGTATAAACCATGTACCTGATCTATGTTAAAAAATTGGAATAAAGACTGAATCTTTCGTTTGTCCAAGCTCTAAACAAAAAATAGCTCGAAACCACTTAAAACGGGTAGGATTCATAAAGAAGCTCGATTTATGGATGCCACATGAGCTGAATTGTAGCAATATCGGCCCAATTCTGAAGGGCATCATGGGACCATCTGAAGGAAATATTCACCCAGAAGTGCCCAGTATCGGCCATTAGGAGATTAATCGTGTTTCACCAAGTGATTAGCATCTGTTCTTGTCTATGGCTAATGATTTGGCTGGTGATAAATTGGACTCAAGAGAAAGAAACAACGGTTTATGTGAAAGAGGCATAATAGCATTACCTTCAAAGTGGCAAAACTCCTGATCTGGCAGTGCCAGATGGAGGTTCAATTTATCTCGAAGTTATCCAATCGTCATGTAAGACGTCAACGCATTTGATGACTTAGAGAGCCTAGATAATTAGTTTTGAGACCTTTTATATTCCCTCGAACAGCGAAAGGTATCTAGGATGTCTTAAGCATATTCTGGTTATAGCAAGACAGCAACAGACTCTACACTATCAAAGCTATTAATATCTATTGAGCCCATTTGCGCTGTCAGTAGCTTGTGACCATTCGAGCTACAATTGTTAGGTAGCCCTTTAGACACCGCGTGAAGGGAAAGTTAGTGTATTTTACCATTTTTTTGGTGATCTTGCCAGCAGTTAAGCCATTCCATCTCGCCCTGATTTCTTTCCCAGATTATTTAATATGTGTCGAATTTCATTTAATGGCTCGATCACCAGACGGTTGGTACTTTTGATAAACTCATCAACTCTCTCGCTCTCCTCAATTATTTTGTGGCCTGGAAATCGGTAGATAGGCGTTTTGATGTAATACGATGTGATATTCTTCTTCTTTTTCTTCTTTATTAGAGTTGTCCCCGCTCGAATATAGCCGAATCAGTTTTAGCTCGCCGTTCATCTCTTCTTTCCGCCTTTTTGCGCCTATTGGAAATACCAAATAAAGCCAGGTCGCTTTCCACCTGATCCTTCAAACAGAGTAGAGGTCCTTTTCTTGCTCATTGAATTATGCCCGAAAGATGTAGCAGAAAAATCACTAACCTTGTCAAGCTCCCGGCGAATCTCACTGCGAATCTCGAGTGCAGTCGTTGGAGTAGTTTTTAGCGGTGCGATATATTAACTCCAGTGGATTGCTGTACGATACTTCATTGGCTGCACCATGCCAAAGCAGATATAGCTTCTCTGGCAAGCATAAATTATTTTACTAAGGTCAATGGCACATATTCGCAAGTCTCACTATTCTGAGTTCAAGATGGGAAAATATCCATTTAAGCAAAATCGATTACCAGAACAGTACTGGAGATTAATATGTTATAATCGCAGTTATTTGCTTAAGTAAAAAAAATATACATATATAAACGGATGAAATAGTTTTAGCTGAACTAGATTATAATCAAATATCGATAACTATCGAAGGGTAAGTTATCTGCCGCCGCGGAAGACGAGTGTTTAGCATGCGAGCTATCATTCGGAAGGCTCGAATTCATATCCCGGTGCCACCATCATCCAAAAGTTATGGAAAATTAATTTTTCCGAGGGTGTTTTGGACATAAAATAAAGGTACCTCGTAAAAAACCATCTGCCGTTCGGAGGTGGCTTAGTATAAATTGCAGGTCTTTCCATTTGTTGGAAAAAAATCAAGACGCAAAACCACAAATTGGAGGAGCAGCTCGGCCGTAGAACCGCTTCAGCGGTAACGCCAATTATACATAGTATATGTAAGTTATCCAGTGCATACAGTGGTATTTTTTCTAATCGATTAAGGAAAGTTAAATTATTTATTTTTCTCAAAAAATATATTTATTTTATTGATCAGAGTTTACCTTTTCCTTTAGAACTATTGGGCATAAGTTTGCGATCCATTACCATATACCCATCATTCGACATTATAGAAGTCAGAATCTTGTTATTATTATTGACTCCATACCACAAATCCCAAGCCATATTCATTTCACAATATTTTAATGAAATTTCAGCAAATTGGGAACCAACTTTGCTGCCATATATTGTACATCAAGCACAAACTTTCTCAAAAAAATGTTGCATTTGTTGTATTATAAGTACTACTCTTATAAATATATGTATATACACGTATGTGCAATAAGAAAAACAATGCTGGGTAGTTTTTAGATTCCGAATCTGATTTTTAGATTAAGTATATAATGAAATCAACCTCTTTTCCTTTAAAAAATTATATGAACTTATTATATATAATATGTGCTTTTATGTATATATAAGTAAGTTTAATTAGGATAATGTGATTTTAATTGTGTCGCAATAAAACCCAAACTTCTGAGATTTAATTTAATATGCTCTGACATGATGGGATATGATTGCATTTTTGCTATGAATTACTTTTAAGTGATTGACACCCCGATGCTTGAATCAAGAAAAGTGATGCGATTTGCAGCGATTCTTGTCACGTGATGTGACTGATAAATCACATGAAGTCACTGTGCTGTGAAGTGATGTGATTAAAAAAGACATATGATGTGACGTGATATCATATGATGTGAAGGAAATTATTCCGGAATCATATTTATGTTGCTATCATATGATGTTAACGAAAACGTCTATGAATTACCTGAGGCGACATTTGTTGTTTCATGTCAAGTGGTATAGTTTGATGAACCGAGCTGCGTAGCGTGTGATTCAGTTTATGTTAAGGTACTTAAGTTTCTGGGAAGCTTGGAATTATAAGAAAAATATGACTATGAATTATATATGATTTAGACTGCTTGCGTAAAATCTCTATCACCAAAACCGAGGAAAAGCGAGATAAATATATAGCAAATCGACTCTGTATACTTTATTTCGATTCTTAAACCAGGAATCGGTGCCAGGAATCGGTGATAACAGCAATATAATGATAGTGGACCAAAGAAGAATGAAAGTGCGTGAAATGGCTGAGAAAATCGCAAAACTACCAAAACTTCCACTTCCAAACGAATTTCTGCGATTTTTCGTGAACTAGTGACAATTTATAGGAATGCACGATTTTTACTACAGATCGGTTACCTTGAGAGAGGTATAAATATATTGAACTTGTGCAGAGTTGATATGAAACAGAAAATATCGTTTTTAGCAAAGAAATAGTTGCTTCTAGGTGAGGAGAAAAGGACGCCATCTCATAATATGAATTGTTGCGGCAATCATACTCACCAATTGTATGAAAGCCTTAAGCTCATTGGCAGTCCAATTCGGCATCATTTTAATTTGGGTTGCCGTCCGTAGGAACATTTCCGATAACGATAAAGCTGACAACTTGATAGAGTATGGATCATCTGTTGATTAACCTGAAGCAAAATTGATATCATGTCCGATAGGAACGGTTAGGAGAGAGCTTCACTTTCAATTTGAGAAATTTGACTAAGCAGATTTGATCCAAGTATGACATGACAAAACAAGAAACATTTTAAACAAATCTAAAAAATATATAAGTATATAAACCTACATCCACAGCAAGAGAATCCAGCACTCTAGCATATTGTTCACAGAACACGTTAAACCCATATTCTACCTTCCCCTGCGGGTTAAGGGCTCAAGAATTTACCCGCGGTAAGCCATGCCTGTCATAAGAGGTGACTAAAATCAAATAGTTCCCGCGACAGTCGGGTCTTTATACCGAAGCGACCCAGATTTTTAGTATTTTTGCGGTTACAACAACAACAACCACCCATCACCTAAAAAACCTTGTATATCTGTCCACAACAGCGCCATGTAGTGCTAACTATGTCTGAGTTCTTGGGTAGCACTACTCCAATCTATCTATCTACCTGACGAAGAAAAAAATTTTTATATTACACTAGAAACGGCTATCTCGTCCAGCATACCACAACCACTGGTCTCCGTTTCCAAAACCAAAGAATCGACTCCACGGTTAAATAATCGGTTGCATTTTTTGGTCTCTATAGGATAACGGTTGCGGTAGCCGAGTGGTTAGCATTGCGTACTGCCATTCGGGAGGTTCGGGTTCAAGTCCAGGTGTCGGACTAACATGCCAAGAGTTATAGAAAAATAATTTAAATAAAAAAAGTAACCAAAATTTTCTAATGGCGGTCGCCCCTCGCCAGGAAATGTCAACCCCTTCAAGTGTATATCGGATATAAAATAAAGGCTCCTTATATAAAACCTTCAGCCGTTTGGAGGCGGTTTAGTATAAGCTGTAGGTCCCTCAATTTGTTGGAAAAACATCAAAACGTAGAATCACAAATTTGACGAGGAACTCGACCGAAAATCGCTTCAGCGGTTACATAGAGTATACGGGATGGCTTATATATATTGAACACTGTCTTGAATTCTGGTCAGATCAATACCTAATTCGTTTGAATAAAAACCTAATTGCACTCAGCTCGAGGCAGGTAATGTCAACCTCTCCATAAAAATCTATCAGACGTTCGGAGACAACCCAAAAAATACTTTAGGTCGCTCCATTTATTGTTATTGTTATTTATAAATATCAAGTTGCAATGCACAAATTGATGAAGGAGCTTGACGGAGAATCACTTCAGAGCTTATTGTGTACAGATCGTCTCAGGTTGAAGATATTTGACATCAACTTAAACAAATATATAAGGGACTGTAAAGTATTGTATCTTCTCAGTATACAAATCCGTCAGCTGAAGCTTCAATCAATTAATTTCCACCAAATCGAAATTAACGAACATTTTTCCGCTGGGCTAATAAAAACCCGTTCACGCATGTGCACGCACACCTAATTCGTAGCAGCATGACACTCTCTCCACTTCCACCACTCTCACTCATAAAAGTAGACTAATTGACGGCGGTGGAAGGTGGGTTGCTGTGGAAGTAAATAAACTCGTTCAAAAGCAAAAAACGCGCAGCTGAGGACATGAATGTCTAGAATGGTAGCTGATGCATAAAGCGCAGATGCATATACACGTATATGTGTGTATGTGTGTTAATATGTTTTATATATGTACATATATGAGCAAATATGTATGGCATGGTTAAGGTATGTTTATGAGTAAGTATAGATATGAATTTTAATGCATTGCAAAATAAAGGGTGTCACAATTGGTGAAAAAGTTGAGGAATTCTTTAAGCTCAAACTCTAAATATAATTTTAGCGTAATTAAATTGACATCATTTGATATGAGCGCAGAGCACTAGATGATTTAAATTCATATATGTAAGCATGTGTGTGTACGACTACATATAGCGACAATGTCGATGACGCAGCTTAAGAACATATAAACAATTTATGATTTTAGTGCAGTGACAAAACAGCGCGAACAGGTGGACGGACGGACTGACAAGCGTACCGCCGGATGACTGGCAAGAGGACAGGTTTTAAGTACGCAGCAAGTTTTTTTTTTGTTGAGCTGCTTACAAAAGTCTTGAAATATATTTCGATTTTTACAATTTCAATTTGCATACATATGTACATACATACACGTATATACGTTTGTTTCTTTTTGTATTATTTTATAAATTTTATGATTCTTTTCATACCTGCGCTCAGCTCATTGCACAAGGTATACTAAGTTTGTTCCGCCTGAGATGCCTTGCTTAGCAACCATTTACACTTCTTCCCTCAAGGCAACAGGAAGTTAAAAAATATGTTCCTACTCGGCGTCCTAATAAAACTGGAAGAAATATTCTTTGGAGTTTACGGTAACGATCATCAACTGACATTGAGCATATTTTTATATTGCTTTTGGGTACGAGAAAAATTGAGCAAATTGCTAATGCAACCACATCAATGAGACCAGCGACTTCCGACTCCTCCTTTGTTTCTACTAAGTCATCGAAAAATACTTCTCACTTCTCACTTCTACTTCGCAACTACTCTTGGCACTAGCGGTACAAAGGATCCAATAACAAGGAGGCGACAATATTTTCCTTGTCCATCAACTTTCCCCAATATTCGCTTACTGTAAACAAAAAATTCTTATGTTATTACGAAAGAAGTACAATATTTTTGCAAAACTAAAGTATTTCTAACCTTCTACTTGCTCAATATACTCGATATATGCATTTCTCGCCTTCAAAGAACGACGCTAAACACCCGCTTGCATTGTTCATTAAACCCGCACACCCTTAGCCTATACTCCGAACAACCAAATTTAGAAAAATCTAGAAGGGTACTCGGTACTATTCTCTACTCACTACCGCTTGATTTTTTTATCGCGAAGCCTCAGAGACCTGCTAAGGGACTGTATCTTATTTAACTTGCCGTTAACTTCCCGGTATTGTGTTTAGAATATTGATGAACATCCTACTCTCCGACCATTTCTGTGTTTCTTACTGCTAGGACGTATATTTTCAACATCTTCAGAAAGTAAAAGCGCCTAAGCCTTAATATTAAAGTGAATGATGCAACCATTCCGCCGGTTGATAACTCAAAGTTATTGGATATAACATTCGGCAGCCTGCCCTTATATACCTTATACTCCACATACGACTGCGATTATAACTGTAACGCAAAAAGTCCTAAAATCCCTAACCAGCAGTACCTTGCCCAAAAACAATAAAACGTTTCTCTCGACTATAAGACACTCGACCGGACAGTGATAACTTTCGCTGCGTCCATTTGAAAGACGGAAAATAATGCGACGCAAGTGAAGAAATTATAGATTTCGCTTGATAAATCCACGTTGCAAGAGAGGTACGCACCTCTTTAAGATAGCAGAAATGGCTCCAGTATAACAGGAAGAACGTAAAGTTAACATGGACTCGATAAAACAGCACCTTACAGAACCGCTGGTGGAGACATTTTCTAAGTTTCATCCCACTTCCTCAACTATCTCCTCGTTGGTTAGTTAGTTAATTGAAAGAGGTGGGTTAGAGACACTAAGTCATGGAGCAGACTCATTGTGCTAACGTGTGTATCCCAAATAAGCATTTTTGCCCTTTTTATGAACTTTTTCAATTTCAACCAACCACTTTTGACCACCTTCACTGTCGGCATCATGAAAGATGTGACGTATCTTGGCCGAAGACAGCACACTCGCCAATGTAATGCTCCAGCGTTTCGTCTTCCTCAGCCGATTTGACTTAACTATCTTAGATGTAGATGCCGTGTTAATGCACCCATAAGAATACTTAGTTCTCTTTTGCTTAATACAAGTAACAACTTCATGTCCCACAATAGTTTAATGGTACGTCCCACGTGTTAAGTGTTCCAAGCCATTAAGTGTTCCTCTATGGTTCATTGCCTTTCAATATGTATAGATGCTGAAGGGTCTGAAGCAGTGCAAGCGGCGCCAGCACGAACCAGCTCGTCCACTCGATTGCAAGCTTTGCTTACAAGACAGAGCTATATGCAATAAGTTTGATGGTAACCAACGCATGTAACCATTATAAGAATTTTGCTAGGCATCCTGAAGCTTCCGTTTGGTGTCCTCTAAGCAGTTTTCCAAGCAGGAATGATATAAGTATGAAACGGGCATGATAATCTGTCTTTCTATCAAACCAAGGTATTCTGGGTGAATCAGCAGAGCGATGCTTTCAAAATGAAAGAGAAAAAAAACGGTTATAATCTACTTAGATTCAGTTGATTTTATTTAAGACCATCAAGTTTATTTCAACCAATCTCGAGAGACTTGCTTAGTCCTAGCACAATTCAAGTCGATTTATTGTGGACACTAAACCTACTTTACCAGACTGGATCAGGGTATACCTTACATATCTCCCGAATGACACTAACCACCTATTTTCATGTCCCTTATACCTTCCCCTGCGGATTAGGGATCCAAGAATTTACCCGTGGTAAGGCATGCCTGTCGTAAGAGGCGACTAAAATCCAAGAGTTCCCGCGACAGTCGGGTCTTTATACCGCAACGTGTAGGATTTTTTATCCGGCCAAGGACTGTCACTCCCGCAACATTCCCCAAAAAGTACTTTGAGGCACATTTTTGGGGTTACAACAAAAACAACATTACCCTTAAACCAACAATTCTAAGACTTTTTTTCTTTTCGACGAAACAACACGTTACCTGAATCTTTAGTTAAATGGACTCGATGGCATTATCTACCTTGATTGAGGGGAGACCGTTACAACATAAACAAGACTTGTAGGAATAAAGTCATCACTACCTGGTGTAAGCTCTTGTTGGAGGTTAAAAAATTGTGTCAACTCTGGAGATGATGGCTTCCACGAAGGTAGAGAGCTAACCTAAACCATATCAAACATATAAATTTTTCTAATTATTATTTAACGGAAAGTTCATTACGGTGCCAACCGAATATTGCTCTACTTACATATTTTATTATTATTATTGTTATGATTTTTTTCATTTACATTTGTACTGGAATAATCAGAATTCTTTACCAGTGTGCTGTGCCGTACGTTCGAAGTTTTTATAATGCTGTGCGCAGCTGGAGTGGGTTCAGTTTATTCTAAATAACTAACGTGTACTGATCGTCGCTAAACGCATGCGCAGACGGTAGTAAGAAAAGTATTTACAACCTCCAGAAGACAAAAAAATCAAACTTACGCCTACATGCATACCAATCTAATTACAAACATACATACATATATGGATATTTATGAACAGCCGTAAATGAGACAGCCTACAGGCGACTTTAGTGCAAAAAAAAAGAACATAAAAAATTCAAATTAAAAAAAAAATTGGAAAAAAAAAATCAACTCATTGACACGCGAATTTGGGTGCGAAACTTTGGCTGTCACGCATGAATTTTTATTAAACACCACTAAGTGATTGTGGCCAATAATAAATAGTAAATGAAAAATAAGTTGAGAAAAACACCAAAATACTTTTTAAACGTTCGAGCATAAAATTTCATAGACGTTAATTTTTTTTTTTTTTTTTGAATTTTCCACTTGAGCGCCTCAGACTACAGCCTGCCAGCTAGCTAGCCAACAAAAGCCAAACAAGACAGAGTAGAGTGATCAGCAGACTTACAGGTAGGCCGCAGTGATCAATCAGCAGCAGCAACAGCAACAGTCGTCGATCGGCAGCAAACGCAAACGCGTCTAGTGAAAACTTCGTTGTACATTTTCCACATCATTTCCATTTCCATTTTATAATATTTTTTTTTTTATATTTCTTTTCTACTGAATTCAGCAAGTTTTGCTTTTTAATTGCCAACATTTCGACGGTAGTGCTTGTAAGTGTATTTGTTAAGCGTGTTGAGCGTGTTAAGCGTGAGAAAGCTCATAGTGTTTTACGTGCATTCGGTTTCAGTTTTCAAACGGCCTGGCAGTCAAGTGGCCTTATACAAAGATAGACCGTTATTTACTTACTAGTCACTGACATAGTTTCAGCGTTTCAGTGCCGGCAAACGCAATAACAATAACAAGATCATTGTCGAACGATCCAATATCAGCTAGTAATTTTGAAGCATTTAGCTGGTTTTATTGGTGCCGAAGAAGACGCAGTGAAAGAAAGAAAGTGAAATGATGTTGAAGATGCGCCTGCGCATGTCCTGCCTCTTGTTGCTGTGCAGTGCAGTGTTACATTGTGTGTCGGCAGCAAGTGCGTCCACGGTGGGTCTATATGCACCAGATCGCTATAATGGTAAGTGGAAAAAAATGAAAAAATAAAAATAAAAAAAAAAATTAAAAAATAAAAAATTATAATAAAATTAAATTAAATTAAATATAGTAAAAAAAAATAAAATCGAATAAAATAAAATCTAACAAAATATAATAAAATAAAATAAAATAAAATATAATAAAATAAAATCTAATAAAATAAATAGAGGAAAATAAAAATTTAATGCAGTTGACACTTCTTTTACTTGCAAGTGCAGAAATGATTTTTCAACTAATATAGGAAAAAATATATTTTGATTTGCAAAAAAAAAAGGTAATTTGTACCAGTTTTGGTATCTCTTACCACAAATTAAAATTCAAACAAACATAAATTAAAAAAATCTAGACTAAAAACTAGTCTCGTAAGTTACGAGTGTGGACAAGTTTTTAAATGTAGACGAGGGTTTTTTGATTAAGTATTTTTTATTGTAATGCAATATTTTGTCAAAGTTAACGGTACTTTTTTTGACACATAGGAGTTCGCGATTAATGCTAAACAGAAAATTTCAGAAATCGCTAACCGTGCTGTGTTACTATTTTCTTAATCTATCTTTAACTATATACATATATAAAAGGCTTTATCCGGCATGACTGATGGATAAAACTACAGGTTGTAGAGTCATGAAACTTGGAAGCTTTTTGCCAGAAGTGAGCCCGATCTGTTTGTAAAAATCAAATCATCAATCATGTTTTTCAATCGTTTAATTTAAATGAAATTCGGTATACAGACAACGTTTTGCCTGAATTGATATGGGGAACACTTTCTTTTTCTGAGACCGATCTATTCGAAAAATTTGTGTTTATCAAATTTTATTTAAATAGCAATTGATACGGAATAGCTTTGAGCTCAAATTACTATTGGGAAATATTTTTCGTTCGGGAAGGGTAACCAGAGCCGATCTACATGAAAAAATCGTTTTTACTTTTAAATGATTTGATTTACGTGAAATTTGATACGCAGATAGCTCTTTCCCTAAATTGACGTTGGGAATACTTTTTCCTCCAAGAAGTGGCTTGGAGCAGATTCAATGGCTCGGTTTTGCTTAATATTTGGCATACACGTATATGCCAAGGTAATGTGTGGACATCTGTTTAAAAAAATTATAGTTTGATTTGCTTGATATTTAGACCATAAAAAGATCTTTGACTAGACTAATTGTGGAAAACTAGGTTAAAATAAAATAAATAATGGAAAAATCGAATGCAAACCTTATTAGAACAATCTTAGAATCACATGTGGACGAACCTGTAATTATTTCAGAAAAAAAAATTTTTATTTTTCAAGTTATGGGTTTGGGAGAGAAAGTTTTAGTTAAAATTTTTGAAAAGATGTACACAAACGAGGAAGTGAATTTATGGAGGATAAGCGGTGGAAATAAAAAAAGAAAACAAATTAAGTTTCCTGCTTAATATATTCACATGCAAGACGAAATATATATTTATTTATAACCTCATAAAAAAGTGCTTTAGCTTTATTTTCAAAAAAAACGCCGAAACTGCTTCCTTGACTCCATCATCGATTAAAAATTATTTATCCCCCAACTCTTTTTTAATTTTTGAAAGCAGGTAATGATCACTCGGCAGCCAGGTCTGGACTGTAGAGTGGGTGTTGCGATGACCTTACTCATGCCAAGATGATCGTGCGGGGTTTTAAAAATGGTTACGTCAAATACTCCAACCATTTCTGCGAGTTTATTTTTTTAACTATTTTGATCAATTCTGGCTCTTGACACGCCTCCGATCTTCTTTAGGGGATTTCCATTCTTATTTAACTTTTAAGCGGTCTCGCGGTCATTTTTAACGGCAACGGTCGCGCTTAAACGAAAATACCTTTGGGATATATTAGAAAAATAAAACACTAATTAACGAATAATCTTTTATCTTTTGTTTATTTATATATAAGGTTGTCAAATATCTCCCTTCCGTTTTTTTGCTCTTTATTCAATGCTTTATAAAAAGTGTTACAGTGATCGGATTTAGTTAAAATATACACCGTTTTGATCGATGATCTGTTTCCATCTAGACGGCAACTTCATAATACCTTCCTCGTAGAAGTCCTTCTCCTTATTTGTGAAGAATTCGGACAGCCACTTTTCACAAGCCTCTTTTGAGTTCAACTTCATACCACCAAGGGCATTCGCCATGGATAGGAACAGGTGGTAATCACTTGGCGCTACGTCCGGGCTATATGGTGGATGCGATAAAGCCTCCCATGCGAACTCCCGTAGCTTCTGACGAGTCATCAACGAAGTGTGTGGTTTGGCGTTGTCCTGGTGGAACACTACACCCTTCCTGTTGGGCAATTCTGGACGCTTCTGGTCGATCGCCTGCTTTAAGCGGTCCAGTTGTTCGCAGTTGATGGTAGAATTAAGCGTCTCGCCATATGGGAGCAGCTCAAAGTGGATGATTCCCTTCCAATCCCACCAAACACACAGCAAAACCTTCCTGGCCGTCAATCCCGGCTTTGCCACTGTTTGGGACGATTCACCGGTCTTCAACCACGACCGTTTTCGCTTGATATTGTCGTATGTGATCCATTTTTCGTCGCCAGTCACCATCCGCTTCAAGAATGGGTCGAGTTCGTTCCGTTTCAGCAGCAAATCGCAGGCGTTGATTCGGTCCAGAAGGTTTTTTTGCGTCAAATTAAGCGGCACACAAACATCAAACTTTTTTTTGTATCCAGCCTTCTGCACATGGTTCAAAATGGTTTGGTGAGTAACTCCCATCTCCTGGGCGAAGTCACGAGATGCCATATGCCGGTCTAACTATATATATATATATACATATTATCATTGTGTTTCGACTCAAATTGTCGAAAACAAGTAACTTAAATTCAAGCCGAATTTATGCAAGGTGAAGTTCTTACATCATATGATTGCTTGTTCCTCCTTCCATTTCAACAAAATACACAAATAAAATACATAGACATTTTGTTTTTGTATTCTTGCGACTACCTTGTGTAAATTTGCCTTGCTTAAACTCAGAAAAAAAGTGAAATTAAATAACAGAACTCAATAATACAATTAGGAATGAAAACATATTTAGGGCGGTCGATTCGACACCGCGCGTCCGCTTGAAGGTTAAATAAACTGTATCACTTGCACATCGTTGTTATCTTATATTTATTATGGTCGCAAGTGTATTTCATTGTTTGTTATGAACGAAATAAAATGCCAGATTGCGGATAGCTCAAAGATGAATTATCTAAAAATAATGAAATCTCGTATTTGTACTAATTATCAGCCACTGAACGCCTCAGGGCCTTAATGAGCCTAATCTTCCACCTACAACCCTCTCTTTCAGCGTACATAAAAACACTCCCTGACATATAACCAATTCACTGGAGATTTCAAGATTCACGAGCTAAACGGTGTATGCTCGATAACTTTTTGCCATTTCAAGGGTAATGCCATTATGCCTCTCCCATAGAAACACTTGTCCCTATTGCCAAAAAAAAATGAGGCAATCTACTTTGACAGGCTTCTCTTGACGCCTATTCTTCACCAGCCAAATCATTCGTCATAGAAAGAAAGAAGAATATAAACATGAAGCAGTTTGGTTGAGCAAGCTCTGGGGGCTTCTGGTGAGCTCGTATCGATGTGTCTGGCCTTGCGTTGTCCTGATAAAACAACAACGATTGACCGTCTATGCCGTGGTATATCTTTTACATAAAAATTTACCGTAACGAAATCGACGAAACCAAAAATGACTTTGGCAGTATCAAGACGATAAGCACCTTCTTCTACTTCCATTTTCAGAAACAACCACAAGAATGAAAACATGTTGTTGATTGCTCTTATTGAAGCAAATCTGCTCCTTATTCCCGCGATGATCGAATTAATGATAACGAAGAAAGTGTTATGTTTGAAATCAATTTCTTCATCAGTATAATCTTCATCTGAATTTTCGGGTGCAACTTCCACTCGTTTCTTTTTACGACTCACTGAGAATGTTGACGTGGTGGTCGCCAAATGTTCGGAAACCGTTCGACATTCTTTTAAGATGGCATTCCACTGGTTGCGTAAGATCTGCAAATTATCTAAGAGACTTTCGAAATTTTTGACTTCAACATCTATTGTGGGTTTTTTCTTTTACAGAACCAAACTAACGTCATTGATTGCTGTAAGAATATTGAACCATATCGATGACATTAGGATTTTTTCCAGACGCGTAGAATTAGTATCGCAATCCATGAAAATCTGTAGTCAGTTACGTCATAGATATTCTAGAAGCAAATTATTCTATACACGACAATGAAAACACCGGGCACCCCTTGCAATCTACTTGCCCGGGGGAAAAGTCCCCGATCCCCCCCTCTCGCTGGGCCTGATAAGCACTTTTAACATTTTCATTGTAGAATACAGTATTTTCTCTTTGCTGGTGTTCATCTTTGACATGCGCTCAAACACTACTGAGTTAAGTGATCAACACTTCTTCTGTTATCTTTTTTAATACGCAGATCACTAAGTCCATACATTGAAAAAATAATATTATTAAACATAGATGATAATGGATGGGAAGCTCAAAAAGCGTGACCATAAAGATCGAGTAACAATTTTTTCTCAAGCTTCTGGGAAAAAAATTAATAAAAATAGCGCGGTTTGGTTCAAAATTTCCGTGATTTCATTTTTTTTTTATTTTTTTTTTTATGGTACACCAAAACAAAATTTTTTTCGAGTTTTTTTTTTATTATTTTTCAATTTTAGTACTTTTTTGTGTAGTACGGTTGTCTACCGTAATGTTCCTTTGTGATCTTTTAGAAGCAAAGATAAAATATTTCATAAGAGACGTCTGTAGTTCCTTTCCTTTGTTGAAGAAAACATCAAAGTGGACGAGGCTAAAAAGGGGCTCCACGTTTACAAAGCGTATAATTGGCGCTGTAAACAGAAATGACTCAATTGAAAGCGGAAGCAGTTAATATGCCAACCCCATGTTTTCCTACTTCATGTCTAGAAGTGTTAAAAGCACTGACAACCACCGGCTGCTTCGAACACATGAATGCGTTCATGATATTTAAAATATTTACTTTTCAAAAGAATTCTTGCGACTTCACTTGGCCAATTATTCTTAATTATTCACAGATCGGCAAAATCAGAACTTAATTTGTATGAAATACGAGTATGTGTTTTTGTTGTTGCTATAATTACCACATTTCTACAATATAAATCATCAGCGATGATGACATCAAGCAAAAATAATTTTCATGTCACTATATACGTGTATAAGTATGTATGTATACGATTCATATATATAACTGTATGTTTCCATCTTTGTCTTGTGTTTTTCCAATTTACATACATGGTATATTTTCTTTTCTTTTTCTTTTCCATTACTTTTTCTGCATTCTCATTGCAGGCATACCGGAAACATGTCTCTTGCCCATGGACTTTGGCTACTGTCGGGCCAAAGTGAAGCGTTATTACTTCGATATGCGTCGCATGAAGTGCGCCATGTTCTACTTTGGCGGGTGTGCGGGTAACGTTAATAACTTCAAAACGTTGGAGGAATGCAATCGCGTATGCCTGGATGGTTATGGTGATTATGACAGTCCGAATGATGTGGTAGCCGTTAAAAAGCCCGCAGCAACAACTAGCGGACGTGATTATCGAAGTCGCGGCAATGTGAACAACAGCAATAACAGCAACAATATAAACAGTGGCGTTGGCACCAGCAGCAGTAGCAGCAGCAGCTATCGTGGTAGTATCACCAGCAGCAGCAGTAGCGGCAGTAACGTTGGCGGCGGCAATATTAAGAACAACACGTCCGCAACCAGTTATGGTGTGGGCATTAGCTCGGTGGATGCGAACTATAAGAACACATACAATAAATACAACAGTAATTTATATAATACCCACATTGGCAGTAATGTAAATGGTAATAATAGCGGCATCGGCGGCAGCAGTAGCACCAGTGGTAATGGTGGCAATGGTGGCAGCGGTAGCGGTGTGAACAATAGCACCAAAATCATACGAAACAGAAGCGATGACAATCTCGATGAATATGATTATGAGGAGAATTAAATTGAAATACTCATAATACTTATGTACATACATATGTATTATGTTCTACATTTTGTTTGTTTACATACAATGAAAATGTTTTAAAGAAAACAAAATAACTTCCTTCTTGCGCCACTGCCAAATAACCTATTACTATTACCACTAAATATTTTTATTGCCTCTTTTCATTATTTTAATTATACATATAAACGTATAAATTAACTATAAAAATGATCCTTTTTAATTTGAAACGCAAAAAATATTAAATAATCTTTTTTTTTTAATTTTGCGACCTAAAAGAAATAAAAATAAAAATTAAAAAGAAATATAATACAAATTAATTATTTCTTGCTGACAAAAGTTTGTCAATATATATATTGGTACATATATAGATACATAGCTCCGCGGTAAACTACTGCGCTTCTTCATTTTTTTTTTGCTATGAGCCGCTCAGTGCACTCATCGATTAACTCCACTTTTTGAAAAGTCTTAAATTTAAGGGGCACACCTAGTGTAATGGCCTAAAAAAAGATAATTTTTGGAAATTTTTATTTAAAAAAATACTTTATGAATTATTTCAAAATTTTAAGAATATATTTACACATGTTTCAAGAATATACAGTGAAAGTTTTGTAGAAAAAAATTAATTATTTTTTAAGTTATAGTCGATCTCCAACGGCGCAAAAACTGGCCTTCACTACTACAGTGATTCCGGCCTTCTTTGTGGATGAAATCTAAAAAAAAAATCCTCTGTATGTATGTATTGTCTGTACAATTACCGACGATAAAAAAAAATTTCAAAAATTGACAATATGGCGGGGTTTTAAAAAAAATTGTCGAATTTTATACAAAATTTTGGCCGTTTTTGGCCTGCCAAAATTCGATTTTTTGATCAGATCAAAAATCGATAGGTCATTGTACAGAGAACTTGTATTGAATATGTGGAAAAAATTCGATAGTGATCGGATCATTTGTTTTTGAGTAGTCACTGCAGCAAATTCGGAAAATGCTGTTTCGAGAAAAACGCGGTTAAAGTTAAATGATCGTTTTCACTCGTAGCTAATGAGACTCTCTAACTGCCGAGCGGCTGTTCTTTAAATTGCTATAACTCAAAAACTATTTGAGATATTGATTTGAAAATTTAAGTGTCAGAGCCATTGGTATAGACATAACCTTTTATGTTTTTAATAATTTTCCTGAATATTAAAGATTAGCACCGTTAAATGGTATATTTCGTTGGCCATTGAATAATAAGTAATTTATTTCAGAAGCCATTTCGATTACCTCCATACTCTAATGTAAATCGCTTCAGTAACAACTGTATCTTTTCTGTAGTTTGATTCTCTCTTCGCAGTAGACTCCATAGCTATCACGGAAATCACAGCTGAATCAATTGGCATGAAATATGGTAAGTGGGCATAGCTATTTGCCCAATGACTCAGATTTTGTCATTATCGAATCCGAAAAAAGTCAAAACATTTTTTTACCACATGATTGGTACCATATAAATAAAACATATAAAAAGAAAGCGCCATTTAATCTTATCCAAATGACTTACCAACACTTTTTTTCAACAAAACCTTTAGAACAGTCTGTCATTAACAGAAATGTTGCCGTCACAGGGCTTCCAGTAAATTGGCTTAAAATACGCTGGATAAAGGGATAAAGTTAGAAAAGTCCAAACCCTGTCTCATACATTGCGAATGTAACTATAATGAAGATACAGAATTTCAAGCCATTAATATAAGAAAATCTTTAGTGGGTAGACCGTAAAATTTAAAAAATATAGATCAGCCTTTATTATATCCCAAAGGTATAACTGTGACAGAGGAAAAATGGAGTGGCTTGATTGACCTTTTAAAATTGATTCGTGTTTAATAGGACAGAGGTCGAAATGGCGAATCCTCACTTTCAGAATAATGCCGCCAACATACAGCTGCTATGAATTAATTACAAAAATTATATTATAACCGAGCTGCACAAATTCATTTTTATGAAAAAGCAGTGATAAAAATATTTAATAAAAAAAATTTCTGTAATAAAAAACTTTGAAATGGAAAGACTAAATTTAAATTTATTACATTTTCAGTAACCAAATCGATTAACTCCACCAGTCACATGAAAAATGTAACCTTACTGACGATTGTTTGTTGGCTATTCTTTCTTATTAATTTTATATACCATTAGATGAAAGCTATATCTGCAATTATGCATTCTGCATTATACATTTGAATTCATATAATCAGAGGAATTTTTAAAAACAATATAACATTACATCATCGCGTTTCCGAACTTCTAGTTTTTTGGAGTTAAACGATGTGTGCACTGAGCGGCTCATATATCGGACGCCAGCTTTCCCATTTTTATTACAATACATAGTGCAAAAAACCATAAAATGAGCTAAATTTTTTTTACAGATTCCACACAAATGCGATATTTCAAAAAATTTATTATTTTTAAAGTTATTCAAAAATTTACTTGTACTTAATTTTACACGAATAAAATTTAAGATTACGTATACGCACTAGCGCGCTGCAGATAAATCAACTTTCAATAAAATCATATTTTTTGGTAAATTGTTTATCTTGCAAAGCTTTTAACTTCTACTCAATTTTACAAGTAATTTTTTATGTTAGGTATACGCACTGGTACACTAATCTGATACTCCGTCGATATAATCTTTGAACGAATTCATTTTTTTTTTAATTTGTAAGTGGTTCTTAAGTTTACACATTGGTGTGACAATCGGATGAATTTTCAAAAATTTATTCTTTCTCAAAGCTTATAATTGATTGTCGTTGTTGACAAGTACAAGAATTTTACAAATAATTTCTTTTCTTTTGGTTACGTATACGCAAGGACATAAACTAACAATAATTTCAGATTATTAGCTTAACGATTATATACAAATCTACATGCTGGGATCTTCAAAAAATCATAAATTCCTTGTTCCAATATGAAGCATGAGCTGCGAACTGCGAACTAAGATCTTTTTCAAACTTACAGTACTATACAGCTTGCCCACAACTTGGCAGACATTTTTGATATCAAAGCTCCAATAACCAACTACAAGAATGGTATGAGTATTGCGATTTCCCTCTCTTAAAGGTCAATAAACCTTTTCCACGCCAATGCAAATCACCGGAAGGTGGGTTGGACCCTTCCAACAGGCAATTATTATTAAATATGTAAGTATATTAAGCTATGCGAAATGCCAGTTTCATTTCACTGGCGCTTAACTGCACCGGAACTTCGATGTAAGCTCACTTCATGCCCATGCTGGATTGCAGCCAAATCGCTACACAGCACGCTACTAGTGTTTATGATAAGGCTTTTGTGAATGTGCAGGTACATTAACACTATTGTATTTATATATATTTAGTTCACATGTTTTCTGTACAAAATATTTTATATTTACTCTTGATGTCATTATGTCATCCTAATTGCAAGAAAATAAAAGGATGGAAAATTTTAATTATTTATTTAGATACAGTTCAAAAGAAAAAAAGTAAAATAAAATTAAAAAATTAAATTAAATAAAATAAATTTAAATTAAATTCAATTAAATAATTTAAAATTAAAAAAAGGGGATTAAAATAAGATTCAAATTAAATAAAATTAAATGAAGAAAAATTAATTAAATAAAATAAAGTATTTTAAAGCAAGATAAACAAATATAAAACAAAATATATAATATATATACATGTAATCGGCGCTTTGTAACCGCTCCTACTCCAATTTGTGGTTTTGCATCTTGATGTTTTTCCAATAAACGGAGGGACCTACAGTTCATACTAAGCCGCCTCTAAACGGCTGATGGCTCGGCGGGATGGACATTCCCTGCCGAGGAGCGACCGCAATTAAAAAATTTTAACTCAATTTTCCATAGCATTTGGATGTTGATGGCTATGAACCCGAGCCTTCCGAATGTCAGTACGCAGTGCTAACCAAGCAACAACAAACAAAATAAATTACACAAATATAAAATGAAATGAAATAAAGTGAAAAAAATAAAATAAAATAGAACAAAACTAAATAAAGTTTTATTAAATTCGAATAAATTAAATTTAAATTAAATAAAAAATAAATTAAAGAAATAAGATAAAAAAAATTATTTCTAATTAAAAAAAATTAAATTAAGTCAAACTAAATGATATGAAATAAATAAAAAATAAAACAAAAATCATATAACATAAAATAATAAAATAAAATTTAAAATTAAACAAAACAAAAAAGAATAAAAAAAAATTAATTTAAAATTAGTTCAATTAGGTATATAAAAATAAAGTAGAGTAAAATAAAATAAAATATGAAATTAAAAAAAAACATGAAACAAACAAATTTTAAATGAAATAAAACAAGACTAAATAAGATGGAATAATATTTAATTTATGTTAATTGAAATTAATTAATTAAAATAAAGTAGAGCAAAATAAAATAAAATTTATTAGAACAAAAAAAATAAAATATGAAATTTAAAAAAACATAAAACAAAATAAAATAAACAAAATAAAAATAAAATAAAATAGAGTGAAATAAAATAAAATAAAATAGAACAAAATTAAATTAAATTAAATTAATTAAGATTTAAAAAATTAGAGGAAAAGAAAAAGGAAAAAATAAAATAAAATATATTAAATAAAAATAAAATAAAGTGAAAAAAAAATTTAAATACAACATAATGAAATATGAAAAAATTAAGTGAAATCAAAAGAGTTCATCATAACGAAATAAAATAAAATATAAAAATAAAAAATATGAAACAAATTTTAAATGAAAAAAAAAAAACTAAATGAGATGGACTAAAATTTATTTAAATTAAATGAAATTAAATAAATAAAAACAAAGAAGAGTAAAATAAAATAAAACTTATTGAAACAAAATAAAATAAAACATGAAATTAAAAAAAAACATGAAACAAAAAAATTTTAAATGAAATAAAACAAGACTAAATAAGATGGAATAAAATTGATTTCAACTAAATTTAATTAAACAAATTAAATTAAAATAGAATAAAATAAAACAAAATTTATTAAAACAAAATAAAATAAAACATTGTATGAAATTAAAAAACATCAAACAAGATGAATTAAACAAAATTAAAAGGAAATAAAATAGAGTGAAATAAAATAAAATAAAATAAAATAAAATAAAATAAAATAAAATAAAATAAAATAGAACAAAATTAAATTGAATTCATACAAATTAAATTAATTA